TTGGCAAGATGCTCCCAGCTCAGTCAGCTTCTGTTTGCTTATATTCTGCTAGATGCGAAAATAAATACCTGGAAGCCTGGTAGAAACTCTACTGGGAAATCAGGACTGGGCATCAAAAATGACAGAGACCAAAGGTGTGGGGCACCCAGAGGCATCCAGCCTGTGCATCACAGAGACTGGAGAGTGGGGAGGTGCTGAATGTCCCAGCCCCAGACGGGATCATACAAAGAAGGAAGCTAACTGAATTTAGCAGATGTGGCCTTATGAAGGAAGGTGGCTGAAGATTACAAACAGCATTGCCTCATTAAACAGGAAAAAATCTTAGAAGAGAAAATAATTCTGAAGAGATCTTAGCATGAGATGCAGCGAAGTCCCATCATCTCCAGAACATGTATGGATGAACCTAAAAGGAGGACAAACAGATAGAAAATGGAACAGATCTGTGGCCATCTCTCTAGCAAGCTAATCTCATGAGAAAGATCAGACCCCAAGCATCAGGATTCCCACCTCGGCCCATGACATGCATGCTGTGTGAAGAGGTGACGGTGCACTGGAGATGACAGGATGGGACCTGACCAGATAAGTAGAGAAGAAAGCTGGACCAGAAGGAATGCGATGTTCAAGTCATTGATGGATTGTTTTTTAGAAACAGTTTCATCTTCTTTGTTACACAGTGGACTAACTGAGGGTTGTAAAGAATATAAGGTCTGACCACATCTGCTTTTAACTCAGGTCCTCCCAGATCAACACTGTGTCAGCTGCACCCAACATGACTTGGTTCAGTCATCCACTGAGTATTGACCTCCAGGGAGGCACAAAGCAGAGACGTTAGAGAAGGAAGGTGGCTTAGTCAACAGAGCTGGACTCGAAGACAAGAAGACCTGAGTTCAATACTTGCCACCCACTTAGTAGCTGTGTAGAGTTTTGGCAAGTCACTACCCCACTCTGAGACTCAGTTTCCTCATCTGTAAAATAGGGGTAATTATACTTTTCAAATGGGATTGTTTGTGAGGTTCTAGTGAAAGAGCTGATATTTCTGTGCTTTGGCATCCGAAGCACTAACAGTGTGGCGGATGTGGAAAATGTGTCTTTGCTCCTCACTTCCCCAAACCAAAAGAGAAAACAAGAATGTTTCCTTTCACTGTAGTTGAATTGTACTGTGCCTGACAGATGGAAGCCAGACATCTGGGTAATTTGTGTTTGTCTATCACATTACTCTGTCTGAGCTACAGTGTTCTTACAGTCCTTGCTAGAGCAAGTGCTATGAACATGGTGAGCCTCTGTAGGTGTTGTTTGGGTAGATGGGTGCGTAGCTGGGCAGAGGGTGAATGGGTGAGTGGAGACCTGTAAGAATGAGTGGGTAGGTGAGGGGTAGGATGCTTAGGCGTGGCATTTATATAAGGCAGATGTATTGGCTGATGGATAGATGAGTATGTAGGAAAATGGGTAGGTAGATAGATGGGTAGGAAAGTGGCTAGATAGGTGGACAGGTAGAGGGATGGATGGATGGGTGGGTGGGTGAACAGATTATGTTTGACTACCTTTGCCGTAGTACTTAAGATATCAGATATGCCAGCTTGAATGCTCTCTGAAATCCAAACCACAGTCTATAAAAGCTGACAGATGCCATTCCTCCTGTGTTTGCACTGAATTCTGCAGTTCTAAGAGCACCCAGTTAGGAGGCTTCATCAGGATCATTGTTATGAGACAAGGGTTCTTAACACCTAGGGACTATCTATGTGTGAGAAATAGGGGAAGGCGAGGGCCCCTAATGTAAAGAATGTATGAGGGGCAGCTGGGTGGCGCAGTGGATAGAGCTCTGGCCTTGGACTCAGAAGGACCCGAATTCAAATCTGAACTCAGACACTTGACACTTACTAGCTGTGTGACCCTGGGCAAGCCACTTAACCCCGATTGCCTCGCCAAAAAGTTAAAAAAAAAAAAAAGAATGTATGTCTTTCCAAGATGGCGCTTCTACCTGCCTCCCACACATGTACACACATGCCCATGTGCCCAGAGGGCCTGTTGTAGTTGTTACCCAAGACCATGACCCCTGGCCCAGCTGCACATGGCAGATGAGGCCCTTAGATAACAAGATGGCATCCAGTCTACTTGATTCACCCAGCTTCAGACTTACTTACAGTAAGAACCTCTGGAAACCTGTCCTCTGCTCCCATCAGGGTGGTGAGGGCAGGGCCAATAGCCCTTAAAGCTCCCCAGCTGGGAGCAGCCTGGGCCTCCTGAGAGGCCTACCCTCTCCTTGTCCAGGCCAGCTCAGGCAGCCATTCAGCTCAGGGGCTCGGAGCCGCTCTGCTCCATCTCGTGAATCAAACACATTTTTAGCAGGTTGCATTCTTAGCTGAATTAGGGAAAGGCCTCTTGGAGGGAAATTCTGAGTCACCAGTTTGGGTTTTCCTTTTTTCATTTCCCCTGCAGCTGTGGCACAGGGATCATTGCCCTTCCAGAACATGATGGGAAGGCACACAAAGTCCTTTCTCCTAGAGCTAGCTAGACCAAGCATTATTATTACCTACTTTACAGATAAGGAAACTGAGTCTCAGGGAAGTTGGGTCACTTGTCCAGGGTCACTGGCTAGTAATTATGTGGGCCAAGCTTCCCAATTCCCAGGCCCGCCCTCTTTTCGGTCAGCCTCCCAGTTTGTCCTCACTCTTCCTTCCCCTTTGGAGAATTCTCTTATCTGAAATCTTTATTGAAACCACCACCAAATTTAAAGTGATTTTGATAACGTTCCCCTTCTTTTAGTTCTCATTAACAACTGATCTACAAATTTCAGTTTGTGAAATGAAGATGAGATCCTGATAGAAGGCAGGGCGATGTCAGGCACTTAGCAGGCACTTTAAATCGTTATTGACTGGCTGTCTGAGCCTCCGCCTGCGTCCTGAGTCAGGGCCGAGACTTCCATAGCTCAGGTCAAAGGACAGGCTGAGGTGCCTGGTCTAAGAGCGTGTTCCCAAGGAGGAGGGCAAGCCCTGGATACCGAGCCAGAGAGAGCCAACTTTAAATCTTGACTCTAGTTCAAGCGTCCCACTCTCAAGGGGAGACCATGGAAAGTGCTGCTATACCAACCCCTCCTTTCTCTGGAGTTCTCACATCTGATTGATGAGATCATATTTTCTCCTTATGGAAAATAGATAATGATACATTTGCCTGATTGAAACTCATAGAAGGAACACTGGATGTAATCATGGCTTTTCCTCTTCCAAATGTTCTCACAGAAACATGAGCCGTGATCAGCTCACAATGTGAGACTCCCTGGGATGCCGTGCTGCTCTCCGGCTCCTCCTCCCAGCCCCCACATCCCTACCTTGGGCTGCCACTGCTTTCTTTTAGGGCCCATTCCATGTATTCTGGGGGAGGGGGATATAGCAAGAAGGAGTGAGCTCCCTCTGTAACTGCCCAAGGTAGGAAATCCACAGCCTGCTCCTACATGGTAGGTTTGCAAGAGTTTCCTTTTTTAAAATTTCTATTTAAAACACTTTCCACTTTAAAATTAAGTATGGTATATTTCTTTAAAAAAAACGTTTAACCAGGAAAATTTCATTCTCTTTGAAATGAAATTTTTCATTCAAGAAACGTCGGACTAGTATATATATATATGTTGCCATGACCAGAGGGAAAATGCTTCCCCCCACCCCCAGCTTTCCACCTCTTGTTCTCAGCACAGTCCTCAACCTAACCCTAAATTCCAGGCTTCTGGAAGGGTCAGTGTATCAGTCTATGTGCCTGTCCCAACTCAAACCCCCTCCCCCATTTTGTTGCTCTCCCCACCCCCAACCCCCACCCTGTTAGAATGTAAGTTACTTGAGGGCAAGAACTGTCTCATTTTTTTCATTTATACTCATTGCTTAGCACAGTACTCGGCACATAATTAGTGCTTAAGAAATTATTTTTTCATCCATTCGTTTAATATTCATGAATTTGTCCAAGGCCTCTAGACTCAACAAACCACTGATGTCTCTCTTTTCCTGCTCTCTGGCTGAGGGGTGGGGTGCAACATGGACTCCCAGCCTCCCATGCTTCCCTTACACGGTACCCAAGACCACAGTCCCTTCGTTTCTCAAAGGACAGTGCTGAACCTGGGGTCCTGAAGTCTGAGTCAAAATCCCCGCTCTGCCAAGTATTACCTGAGTGTCCCTGGGCCAGTCCATTCCCACCTGGCTTCGGTGTTCTCATTTCTAAATGATGGGCTTGGATTAGGTGACCTTGTGACTCTGGTCTTACCAGACAGCTGAACGCAAGAGGCAGTGAGGAGGGTATGGGGGAGGCCTACAGGTGGTCAGGATTAGCAGGATGGGGTCACTGCTCGGATAGAGAGAGTGGACGATGGTGCTCAAGTCTGGGTCATTGAGCTGCATGTATTCAGTCCGATGGCCTCCATAGGGTTGAAACTATTGGAATTCTTCCTCTCGATGCCTCCAAGGCTGGGGTCCATTCATGCCAACCTGTTCCTCCATTCACCATTTGTTACTGATTCAGTAGATACTAATGGTGAATCTGCTGCTATGCCAGGCACTGCACCATATTACTAAGGGTGCCTTAACTGTACTCCCTGGCCTCACAGAGCTGACGGACAAATAGAAAAATGCCCCCCCAACAAGGTTATCTGTCAGTTTCCCCATTTTTCTGTCTCCATCTTCTCATAGGAGACTGTTCCGTGTGCATTTTTGCATCATGAGTAATGTAAATAGAATGGACTCCCAGAGATTAGCAGTTAGAGTCACTTTCTCATTGACGTAACTGCTCCACACTCAGCACAGTGGCTGACACAGAGGAAGTGCAGGAATTAATGCTTTGTTCTTGTCTAGGCAGCGGCAGAGCAGAGATGAGGGTGCCATTGATGGGCTCTCCAGTTTGGATGCAGGCAATCCTTGCAGAAGTGAAAGTCACACACACAACCTGTTTGCTTAGGCTGGTATACATAGCTGTCACGAGTCTTGGGAATCATCGCTCACCCTGTGAACTGGTATTTTCTCCCACAGACAAATTCTGGTATTGTCGGCTGTCACCCAATCACAAAGTGCTTCACTACGGAGACTTGGAGGAGAGCCCCCAGGGAGAGGTGCCCCATGACTCCCTGCAGGACAAACGTAAGTCACCCTTTTAGATTCTGGGGCCACTGGGCTCAATGGGCTTCCCCCACTCCCAGCCTTGCTGTTCCATCCAACCTAATCCAACAAGCAAGCATTAACGCCTGTTCTGCACTAAACTCTGTACTAGGAGGCACTAGGGATTCAGAAATAAAAAGGAAATAGTACTTGCCCGCAAGGAGCTTGCGTTCTCCTGTAACACAAGATATTCTAGCAAATCACTATGAAATGTTTGCAAGGTAATTTGGGGGTGGGGCAGAATGCTAACAACTAAAGGAAGCAGGAAAGGATTCTCATAAGCCATGTCGCTTGAGCTGAGCATTAAAGGGATCTAGGGATTCTGAGAGTCAGAGGGGAAAAGAGAGGGCATGCAGACTTGAAGACACATGTTCAAAGGCCTGGAGAGGGGAAATGCCATGTCACAGGGAAGGAACAGCAAGGAGGCCATTTTGCCCAGGCTAGAGATGTCCACAGCACTGCCCCTGTGGGGCTGACCCTTGCTCAGGTATGGCCAGTGTGTCCAGCACAAATGGCCGCATTGAGCCACAGACCTCTGGACCATGGGGTCTGGAGCTGGTCGCTTGGAGGCAGCCCTGGCAGGGCTTGGTGGCAGGGATGATGGATATTCATTGTATCTCATGAGACAGCCAAGGAAAGGAGGAACTTCAGATGCTGGTTTGTTTCCATTTTGCAGTTTTTCCAAAGTCTAAGCGGAGAGAAATCTCATTTCCTTGAGTTTATGTTGTCAGTCTTTCTGAAGATTGTGACAAACTTTACACATATCATCCTCTTTATCTTCACCACACTTCTCTGAGGCAAATACTGTGAGCTCCATTCATTCTGAATACCCTGTGATACAAAAAGATTCCTGGCTGGGGAGCTAACCCAGCTTTCAGGTGACCTAGGGCTGCTGGAATGCCAGCCTTGCTCATGAGGAGTGCAGGGCAAAGGTCTGAGAGTCTGAAGTAGACGTGGCCCGGACTGAAGTCAATGGATTCTCCAGAAGGCTCTTCGAAGGGAGGTCAGTGGGGGGACTTCCCCAACAGTGGCCTGACTTCCCCAAGGCCATACAGCCAGGGTATGTCACAGGTGGGAGCTCCATGGAATGCTCCCTCTCTGACAGGGACCCTCATCTCTCTCCTCCAAGGTCTGGGGGCTTCTCCCTCTTCCATTATGATTTCTCCAACCTAGTGACACTGAACTGAGGCTCCCAAGTGAGTGGATGCTGTCTCCCTCCCCTCTTGGCCCCCGGGTCACACTTCAGGCTCATTCTGTCACGAAGGAAACCCAACTATGTCCGGTTCAGGGCATGAGACAATGCAGGCTTCATCTGGTCCAGAGCCACGCACAAGCCAAGGCACAGAGAAGCATCTGCTGGCCCATAGAGGAGGGAGTCTCTGAGAGTCAAGGGGGCTCTGAATGAGTCACTTTCCATAGGACTTTCGATTGCACAGACAACCCTTAGTCGGGCTTGGTGCAGAGCAGTCACCGCCTTGGAAGCAGTTATGTTTTTGAGAGGAGAGAACGGAGACTTCCTCCTCTGCCCATCTGTCACTGGCCTCGAGGGTCTGAGACAACAAAGCAGACTCTGGTTGCCTTCTGATTAGTCTTGACAGGATCTCGGGCAAAGAAAGGTAAAATACAGAGGCTAGAGGTGACTGGTCTTTTATACTGAGATTCAGGCTTGCTCTAAAACGGCATCACTCGTATCAGGAAAGGGAACATCCAATTGCCATCTCCCCTCCCTCCTTCCCCACAGTCTTCAGTTTTCCTGAGTGAACCCCTGGAATGGGCAGAGGGTAGGAGAGACCTGTGCTGCATATAGACTCTTCCACTGGAAACACCCCAGGACCCAGTTGGGGGCCCTTGCCTATTCCTTACCTGGGAGCTCCCACAACATGAAATCACACAGGTCTTGTCACAGTTCCTACTGGGTGCTCCTGGGCTGCGACCAGTGTCAGCAAAACAAAGACTCGCCACTGGCATAAGAGCCCGGAAGACCTGACGGCAGCTTCTTCCCAGGAAAACTGTAAGACATTATTAAGTCTGGCCAGTGCATTGGTTGGTGGCCCACAGCCCCTAGACTTCAGCAGCACTGAACGTCCTCCAGCAGAGAAGCCCAGACCCTGGCAAAGCTAAGCGTCATTACGTCACCGACATATTTCATCGGGCACCTAATTACTTCTTATTTGTACTTTGTGCCTGCAGCGTCTCATCGGTCAGAACATGGGACAGGCAGGGGCTGTGACAGGAATTGGTGGGAAGCTGAGCCAGACATCGAAAAACACATGCTTAAAATAAGCAGGAGAGGGAGTGAAAGTGAGAAGAGAGAGAAAATTAAGAAAGTGCCAGGAACATACACACGCAGGGGAATCCAAGGCGAAGGGAGAATCAGTGCTTGGCAGGCAATGGGAGGAGGTCTGGAGCTGGGCTCAAGCCTGGGTCCAAAGCCCGGATCTGTCTGTGACCCTGAGCTCTGGGACTCAGTTTCCTCATCTGTAAAATGAGGGTTGTGGTGGTGAGTCATGTCTGAACTCTCTGTGACCCTATTTTGGGTTTTCTTGGAAAAGACACAGGAGGGGCTTGACCTTCCCTTCTCCAGCTCATTTTACAGATGAGGAAACTGAAGCAAACAGGATGAAATGACTTGCCCAGGGTCATACAGCTAGTGAGTGTCTGAGACAAGATTTGAACTCAGATCTTCATGCCTCCAGGCCTGGCGCTCCATCCAGCGTGCCACCTCGCTACCCCATCAATCAACAAGCATCTATTAGGTACCTTGTGTGTATCAAGCCCTGTCCATTGTGCTGGGACTACAAAGACAAGAATGAAGATACCTCCTGCCCTCAAGAAACTTATATTCTATTGGAAGGAGAAGACAATAAACACAAGTCAATAAGTGTAAAGGAATGCCAAGTCATTGCAAGACATGATCCGTTAAGTGAAGCAGTAAGCATTAATTAAGTGCCTGCTGTGTGCCAGGCACTGTGCTGGGTGCTGGGGATAAAAGAGATAAAAGTAAAAGTGAACCGCCCTCCCCCAGCACAGGTTGATGGTGCCTTCTCTGTGCCTCGGGCTCTGAGACATTGCTAAGACCACGTGGCCAGTCTGTGCCAGCTGTGAGGCTTGACCCCAGCCCTAGCTGGCTTGGAGGCCAGCCCTCTGCCTGCTGCACCCCTGCACTGGATAAAGTCAACCCAAGGTGATCTCTGCAGGGAGCCAAGGAAGCACTGGCAGCCGAGGACACCAGACACTTTGGAGGAAGCTGGGGCTTCTGAGAGAGTTAATCAACACAGGGATACTCCCCAGCACAAGGACGAGAGCTGTGCCCAGAAGCCGAGAGTCTCTCAATGATTCTAGGAGGCTCCTGGTGAATCTGGGAGGGACCTAAAGTGCAGCTTCCCAGGGAGTGAAGACCACAGCCATTGGGTAGGGGCAGCACAGGCAAAGGCTGCCACGGGAGCATGCCAGGATCTTTTGTGCCACCAGCAGTATGGTACAGTGGACAGAGTGCCAGCTTCAAAAGCCAAGGTCCTGGGTTCAAATTCTGCTCTTTCTGCTTGCTCCCTGCCGACCCTCCAGGGTACTGTTTCCTCATCCATAGAATGAGGCTGTTGACCAGATGGCCTCGAGCTCTGCCCCACCTCCAGATCTGTAATCTTCTGATCCTTCCTCCTGAATGCCATTGCTCAACTTTTAAAATCTGTCTCATGGCTGAGGCTGACCAGTGTGGTGGTGCTCCAGACATTTGCAGAGTGGAGAACCCTGGATGTTGAGCCAGGAGCCCTCAGCTCCTCCCCAGCCTCCCATAGTGACTTCTGGCAAAATCACTTGAGTGCTCTGGAAGGGGACCTTTGCATCTGTAAAGTAATTGGGGTGGACAGGGTTCTATCCAGTTTTACCGAATTCTGTGGTAATCACCCCTACTGCCTTGATGAACCATGAACATGTGTGTGAGGGGTGTATGTGTGTGTGTGTGTGTGTGTGTGTGTGTGTGTGTGTGTGTGTGTGTGTGTGTGCAGTGGCAGGTGAGAGCTGAGGGGCCCTGGGGCTCTGATTAAATGGCTTTCTTAGAATGAGACCATTGGGGGGGGGCCCATAGCTGGAGGGAGTCCCTCCAGGTGCCTGTCCCTGGAGCTCCAGAAGGGGTGGGCCCCCATTCCAGAGGACGAGAAGCTCTCTCTTCTTCAGTAACCTTGGAATCTGGTTCCTCATCATTGGTGTGACCAGAATGTGTCCGTCCAGCTCTTGCCTCTGGCCCTGATCTTGCCCCGTAGGTCTCTCGCTGCAGGTTTCCATTGCCCCACAGTTCTGCAGTGGCATCAGCTGCTCGCCAGCCCTGGCAGGGTGTCTGTGCTTCCCAGCTCATCAGCAGGGCCCAAGGCCATTGCTCCTTCCATTCCTCAGAATCTAGGGCAGTTCTCTCCCCAGCAGCAGCAGGCTGAATGAGAGAGGGAAGCTGCTTCTTCCGGCTCTCCCAGAGCCGATAGAAAAAAAAGTCATTTTGGAGAAAAGGGAACCACGTTCCCAAGAGCCGCCATGTCTCGCCTTCTCTCTGCTTTCACAGCTTCACCCTCAGGCAGTCCCAGAGGCCTCCTGGATGGTGTCCCTGAGGCCAGCCTCTCCCCTCTCTCATCCATCCTCCACACAGCGGCCAAAGTGAGATGCCCAAAGCTCGGTCAGCTCTGACAAGGTAGCCACCCTGCTCCAAAATCTTCGGTGGCTCCCCACTGCCACTTCGTGACATACAGACCCTCAGCCTGGAATAGAGAGCCCCTCTCCAGACGTCTCCAGTCCCCTCGTTCAGGCTGGCTTCACGTGGCTTCCACTGTCTTCTAATCAAACTGGCCTGCCTGCCCTTTCCCATATACAGCTGGAGCTCCATCTCCACCTTGGACCCCACACCCTCCTGACCCCCTAGTCTCCTCCAAAGAACAACTTAGGTACCTGTTCCTACACCAGGCCTGCCCAGATGCCCCACCCCCAAGGTTTAAGTACATGGACCTCCTTATCTGTGTGCACGTTGTGTGCCCTGTCACGTCCAGGAGAATGTAAGCTCCCCATGGGCAGGGACTGCTTCATCGTTGTATCTCCAGCACCCAAAAGGATGCTTGGCACATCGTAGGTGCTTAACAAATGCTTGTTGTTTGAATGAATTCATGCCCCCAAGCAGACCATCTGTCTGCCCAAATCAAACACCACTCACTCATTTTCCTTGGTGGTGTCATTCCCCATCTACGTCTTCAGAAAACCAAGTCACCTCAGCCCCCTCTGTGACCTTGGGCTTTCCTCAGTTCCCCCCCCGTAAAAATGAGGGCCTGAGGACTGACACACGTCCCAATCTCTGATCTGTCTTCGCACCTTTACCTCTGGAATAGGTCCTTGGCGTGCCTGGCCCCTACCCCACACAAGGCTGAATAAATGCTTCCTGGGATCTTTCTCTGAAACTCAATTCCTGGACAAAGATCCAGGGTCAGAGAGGCCTCTTTCTATACTGAAAAAGCTTTATATAACAAGTATGACAAGTGATCCTTTTTTTCCCCTCCCCATATCTGCATCCCTCCCCCTGCCCATATTTGCATCTCTGACCCCGGGCACCTCCTCCCCTCTGCACCACATGCACAGATCCTCACCAGGCTCACCAGCCCTGAAGACATCAAAGCATGATCTGAAGTGGCCTAAATAGCAGACAGAGAATGAGGCCATGGCCGGAGCTCCCCTCTAGGACCCTTTGTGGATTCACCTAGTGCCTCACCTTCTTCCTCATCTCCCTCCCGCACAGGCCAAGTTGAGGCCAAACTGGCTCTGATGTGCCCAGGGCTCCCCCGGGGCCGTCTCCTTCAAAGGGGCAGATTTGGGAGATGGGGATGCAGCCTCTTGGTTGGGTCCAGAGGGAGCAGAGACAAGATCATTTCAGATGCTCCTGGGACCCCAGCCAAGCTCCCAGGGTTTCTGCAGCTTGACTCAGCAAGGAGCAAGCTTAGAAAGTGGCGTTGTATTTTTAGTATTTGTATTTTCTCCTTAGCCATAACCCTGTGAGGGATGGAACAGCCTGGCTCCTTAACTTAAGGAGATACTTCAAATTACATTCATTTAACCCAGCCTTGACTGAGCACAGCCAGCCTTCATCCCTGGAAGCCTGCTGCCCAGCAAGTATGGTGTCAATTCATGATCTCGGATCAACGTGATGCCTTTTTAAAGTCGGGAATAACCAATCGGTGGAGTTGGGGCTGTGCTCCCTCCCTCGGGGAGCAGAGGCTCTCCAAGGTCACTGAGATAGGAGCGATCAGTCAATCAACAAACATGTAGAGATCAGTTACTGTGTGGAGGGACCGTGCTAAGTTCTGGAACTATACAAAGAAAGATGCAAGCTCTGTTCTTGCCCTCAGGGGGCCCACCTTCTAATGGGAAAGTCTCTTATGTAAGGGACTTTCATTCCTTTTTATTCTTTGTTAGAAGTGGGGCTCCCAGGAGAAGGGGGGAGGATGTGTCTGAACGAACTGATGTGCAAACAGAAGCTGGCAATGGGTGTGTGCATGTGTGTGTGTGTGTGTGTGTGTGTGTGTGTGTGTGTGTGTGTGTGGGCATGTGGATCTGTTTAGCCAGGAGGGCAGACAGGCCGGGCACCCTCAGGCTGATCATGGGCCCTAGCCTGGGCATGGCGCTCACTCTGTCCTTTGTGCATTGTAGTGCCCGTGGCAGACATCAAAGCTGTGGTGACGGGGAAGGACTGCCCACACATGAAGGAGAAAGGAGCCTTGAAACAGAACAAGGTACGATTCTCAGCTCGTCCCCAGAGAACGAGGTTAGCCTGGTCTGGCAACCAAGACCAGAGCTCCAGCTCCCACTGGAAGGACCCGAGGGGGATCCTGGCCCTAGGGAAGATGGCAAGGCCCCTGCGTGGCACCCCAATTCCTTCCTAGCAGGGGCCTAAATGTCTGGTCATCAGTTTGGTTGTTCCCAGCTGTTAGGTACCCCTTGAAAGGATGAAAAGGTGTTTTGTGTTAGCTCTAAGCTGCATTTCAGTGGGAGAATCACTAAGGATGCCCCTTCCCTCTAAAAAACCAACAAATCACTTTACTCTGAAACCTCCAGAACTAGACAGGCTCTCTTGGCCAGATCACTACTGACAAGCCGTACTGGCTGCCAGGCCCTCGTCGGGTGGGCAGATTCTATAACATTTTTGCTCAAAGGCTGTAACGTTTTGCAAGGGTTAAGGCTGTCCAAGAAATTATCAGCCCCTCCGGACTCCAGAGCCCCCATCGTCCTGCCTCAGAGACGATGCCCCAGCCAGAGCAGTGAGGAGCTGGGGTTGTGGTCATCCATAGAACAAAGACAAGGCCTGAGGGTGGGTGGCTGGTGACATCAGTGGAGCTGAGTTTCTCAAAGTGTGGGTCAGCTCAACGTGCAGGCTTAGGGGCATGTCCTCAGGGGACTCCCAAAAGCTGATTAGAAGGAGCCTAAGGCAGGAGCTCTATCCCAGCTCACAGGGACACTGGGAGGAACCCCTCCTCTCTCCTTCCTCTCTCATCATACCTCTTGGCAGCTCTGAGTCAAAAGCCCTGCTGAGCTCAGGGGCCTGCAGCAGCAGGTCATCCCTCACTCAGTGAAGCTGTTTGCTTAGAGCCTTCCTTCCCCTCCTCCCTAGCTCAGATCTTCTCTGTCTCTGGTAGCAGGGCATGCACAAGGAGGGGGGAGGGCCAAGAACCAGTGATTCTGAGGATCCCTGCTCTGCCCCAAACACACCAGGTGGGGGCACAAGCCTCTCTGGGGGCACACAGAGCCTCGCATCCTAACCGGGGCCTTCCATCGTGACTCCTGCTTGGCCAGCAGGGGTCTGAGGAATTTGGGTTGGTGTCCTGGGCATTGGTCTTCAGTACCCATGGGGGGCACTCAGGATGTTTGTGGAATGAATGAAGGATGTCTGTGGTATCAGGAGGGCTGACCCACAGAAGGATTGGCCCAAAGGGCTCCCCCTGGGGGGTGCCAAGAAGCAAATTTAGGGCAGGCCTTCCTAGAGCTCTTAGCTGTCCCCAAGCCGGATGGGCAACCTTGAGAGGGAGAGTGAGCAGCAGTGGAGACATTGTTGCTATAGGGGAAGGTTTGGGGGTGGGGGATTTGACTCTGTGCCCTTCTATGAGGTCCAGCCCAGATTCTGAGATGGCAGCAATGAAGGAGATAGGGAAGTGTTTTACAGCCCGAGTGGATCAGATGGGAAAATCTATGCCCAGAGGCGCAGGGTGCTGGCCTAGGAGTCTGGAAGAGCCGGGTTTGAATCCTGCTCACACACACACACACACACACACACACCCCTAACCATCCTGTCTCCCTCAGGGGATCATTTCACCTCTCCATTGGCCAGACCACTCTTGACTCTTCAGGTCACATGAGAGTTGTGCATTTGTATGGAGGCAAGAAGTTTCCACTCTGGGAGTTCCCTACATGGATGCAATTCCCTGTCTGGACCAAAACAAAAGAGAAAGCTTGTATTCCACCCCAACATGGGGTGGTTGTGAAGAGCGCACGGTAGAGATGTGTGTTCCATCTTGAGGGCACGTGGCCGACCAGGCCGCTGCTTCCTCGGAGTTGGCTGAGCGCCGAGCTGCCCCAGGGACTCCATGACATCAATAAAATCCATTAGACATGATAGGGTCGCCTCCCACAGACATGTAGTTCAGAGGATTAAGGCCTAGGACTCCTCCCTTCTGTCCCTGGTGGAATTAAAGTTGGCCTGGCAGTTTATGGCAAAACCTATCATTTCTAGCCATTACTTCTCAGGAGTCTAGGCTGGTACAGTGTGGATGAAAGGTGTTGAGTGATGTATGTGATAGGAGGGCAGAGGAAAAGTATGCAGCCACCTCCAGCAGAGAGCCAGGCAGACACTGTGGTCCGGTGATGCCGGCCCCCAATCCTGGGCTACTATCTCAGCCCTGCTGCCTCTATACCACCCAACAAACTGAAGGGAGTGACCAGCTATGGGACTTCCCGAAGCAGAGATGCTGCCAATGTCATCCCGACTAGCTCCTCCCTACTGTCAAGTACGGCAGGTGAAGGATGAAATGGCTGAGGACACGCTCTTCTTCTGAGCAAGTCAATTCATTAAGCCGATTCCTAACTGGCAATTAATGCCAGCTACCTAACACATCAGGACCAGGCCCCTTCCTAGGCTTAGAGCTGGACCACAAATACAGAGGGAGATAGATTCTGATACATGAAAAACAATTAACCGAATGAGACCAGTTAATTAAAAGGAAACAGTACAACATTAGGTAACCTGATTTCTAATTGAATGAAAGATCAGGGGCTTTCCACGTTGGGAGGGGAAGAGTGAATGGGGCAATTCCCTGAAATCAGAAAAAGAGGTGTTCCCCTCCTACGGCCCACCAATGTCTGTAAACAATCAAAGGCAAATGGTAACTGACTGACCAGGAGAGGACCAGCTTTCAGAGGAGACACATGGGTTGCTCGAGATAAACAACTGTGGGAAAATGCCTTGCTCCGATGTTCTGGTTGGCAGAAGTTTCATCCCCCGTTAAGGGTCTCTAAGCAGCAGGGAGGGCGTCCAGCTTCCTAGCCACTTAGGGCTAGGTCCAAACAATACAATAAGGTTTTCTCCAAACACTCCCACACTCCCACAACTGAATAAAGTTTTCTCAAAAGATGTGTTGGACTAGACCCATAATTGGACAGAAGGGGAACTGAGCTGGCTCCAGAACTGAATCACAAGATGGAGTCAGTGGGGTTTTCTCAGTTCTCATGCCTAACCACTTACTGTTGCAATCCCTTCACTTCCCTCATGGGCCCTGATGAGGCATCTGCCGAGGGTGGGATAGATGGGCCAGCCATAGAAGGAAGCCCACCCTCTTCTTCCTCTGTTCTCACCCCAAAGGATCCCCCACCCCCTCGCTTCCCCAAGGCCATGTCTTCCCACAAATGGCCTTGTGGATACGTGTATGATTTGATGGATTCACGAGATCATAAGGTAGAGGATGGGGAAGGGGGCTCACACCCCAATGCAGCACATGGCTCTGAGATCACTGTGGGTTCTGGTCCATGTTTTCCATAAGTCCAGCACAGAAGAACTTCCTCATGCCTTGAGGCCACCTTCAGAGTCTGTTAATATTTCACAAATTCATGGCAGCCTTCGGGGCATCCATCCATTGACTCTCTCCTTGTGACCAGCCTACCTCCTTTTCTGCTCAGATGTGCCCTCAGTGATGTTGTCTATGTGCCAGTCCTCTTTGGCAACATGTTGCCCATCCAAAAGCCCAGCGTACATCTCTCTAGTGCCCTCTGGGTCCACTGCAGCTTAGAGTCTTGGGAGATGGTAGATCCTGAGTGAGAGCCAATTCCACCTCTGGAAAAACATCAAGACAACAGACTCGTGTTACAGCAGCTCTGGTATCCTTGGGTGTGCCTCACTTTCCCCAGGATCACTGTAGGGAGGCGAGCAATGATTCCTGCTGCCAACCCTGCCCTCTACTCAAAGCCTTTCTTGATTCTCACCTGCCTGTACCCTCCCTCCTCCCTAAAGTACCTTATATTTATATTAGTGCCATATATATTTACACATGTATTTGTTCTCTCCTCGGTAGAATGGAAGCTCTTTGGGGGCAGAGGTAGTTTCCATTTTGTCTTTGAAGTCCTGAGGCTAAAACAGTAGCAGACATACAGTCAGTGCTTCATAAATGCCTGTTCCTTCTTGAGCGATCATTGGCTACCTCCCTGTTCCATTAGGAGGAGCCATGACCTTGTTAATGTGGGTCCCATCCACCAAGGCGGGTGGCAGCCCCTCTAGGAGGGATGCCTCTAGGCATTAAGAAGTTCCTCTGTGCAGGACAGATGGAAAGATAGGGACCAGAACTCAAGGTGAGACATGCAAAAGGGGCCATGTCCTGCACTGGAGAATGAGCCCCCCACCCAAGGACATCTCGAATCCATCAAATAACACAAGTACCCATAAGATCATTCGTCTGAATAAACAGCCTGGGGGGATGGAGGGTGGAGGATCCTTTGGGGTGAACTTCCTATCTATCTATTCTATGCTCTGTGTCAGGACAGGTTGTCCCATTGTGACCAAAAGACTCATCCCACCCCTTCAGCTAACCCAGCACTGAGCATCTGTGGGTCATGTGTGCGGCTTGTCCTCAAAGCTCCCTTGGCAGGACCCTCAGCAGCCTGGGACCCCCTCCATGCTGAGAGGAGGCAGTCAGGCAGGGTCCAGGGAGGGCTTCCTTCCTAATGGGATGAAACACTTCTTAGTGAGAAATCAGAGGACCCAAAATGAGAGCTGGGGGAAGGAAGCCCAAGCTTTCTGGTAAATGGTGATGCTCTTCATCACCTCAGCCATTGACCAGGCACCACTTGAATGAAAGACCCTGTAGAGATGCCCGGCACAGTCTGGGAGAGGGACATGTGATGGGCACTGGCCCAGGGCTTGGGGTTAGTGGCTCAGACCCAGGAGGCCACCCCTGTGGGGAGAGAGGAACATGCCCCAAAGACGAGAGAAACAAGAGGTACCCTTCATGAGGGACATGGCTCCCGACTTCTTTCTCAGCGCCGCCTCCTGGCTGGATCAACTCTCCACAGCTCCCCTGTATTGGGTATGGAACAACTAGGGCGGGAAACTCCTTCCTTGAATACCACTTGTTAGCTTCTCTGTCACTTAAGAGTCTTAGAGGTGCCTGCCCCTAGAAGGTAAATGATTTTGTCTTTGGAGCCTAATGTAAATCGCCTAGTCTGAAAGTAGATAAGCGACTGAGAAGGAATTATAAGCAAGGCTTCAGAGATCCAGACTTCTGCATCCATCTCTCCTCTCTCTGTCTCTCTCTCCTCTCTCTCTGTCTCTGTCTCTCTCTCTCTCTCTCTCTCTCTCTCTCTCTCTCTCTCTCTCTGTCTCTGTCTGTCTGTCTGTCTGTCTGTCTCTCTCTCTCGCTCGCTCTCTCTCTCTCTCACACACACACACACACCCCAAAGCACCTAAAAACTCCTTGACTGGCCTTAGGGATAAAAGAAGGAAATCTATTCTGGATCTGATCCTCACTAACAGTAACTGATTTCCGGCTGGGAAATGATGACACTCTGGAGGGATAGTGACCACTCCCTCCTCTAGAGCTTGTGATAGAGAAGAGCCCAGGGAGCCGCCCAGGGACCTAAGCTGTTTAGCATTTTTATCAATGACTTGGATAAAGGCATTGATGGCATATGCTCATCAGATTGGCAGATGGGACAAAGTGGATGACCAATTCAAAATCTGAAACAATCTTGACCGAAGAGCATTAGGCTAAAACTTCTAAGATGCAATTAAATGGGGAATTGTTTTTAAAGTCTTGTCCTTTAAAGAAAAGTCTTATTCTTGAGTAAAAAAAAAAATAAAAAATACAAGTATAAGATAGAGAAGGCATGGTTCAGTAACAGTTGTTTTGAAAAAGATCTGGGAGTTTTAGTGGACCACAAGTTAGTATGTGTCACTAGTGTAATATAGCAGCCAATGAAATTTGGGGCTTCATCAAGAAAAGTATAGCCTTGGGGCAGCTAGATGGCTAAGTGGATAGAACCTTAGCCCTGGATTCAGGAAGACCTGAGTTCAAACCTGGCCTCAGACACTTGACACTTACCCTGGGCAAGTCACTTCACTCCATTGCCAGAGAGAGAGAGAGAGAGAGAGAGAGAGAGAGAGAGAGAGAGAGAGAGAGAGAGAGAGAGAGAGAGAGAGAGAGAGAGAGAGAGAGAGAGAGAGAGAAGAGAGAGAGAGAGAGAGAGAGAGAGAGAGAGAGAGAGAGAGAGAGAGAGAGAGAGAGAGAGAGAGAGAGAGAGAGAGAGAGAGAAAGGTATAATCTCTAGGAGTGAGGAGGTGACCCTGCCCACACACACACACACACACACACACACAGTCCTCTGCCCATGACTCAGCTGAAGGACTGTAGTCACTTCTGGGCACCTCTCTTTAAGAATGAGGGTATTTGGGGAAGGGCAAACAGGAGAGTGAAGGACATATATTCGTGTGATAAGATTTTTGTCTGAAGGAGCTGGGACTGTTTAGCCTGGACAAGAGAAGACTTGGGAGGGACAGAGTTGCTGTCTTCAAGTACTTCAAAGGCTGTCATGTGGAAGAGAAATCAGACTGGGTGCTTGTTCCTAGGAAGCAGAAATGGGACACCGGGAGGAAGGTGTAAAGAGGCACGTTGAGGCTCTGTTGTCAGGCAAGAAACACTTTCCAAGAGTACAGGGCTGCCTGTGGCATCTCCAGGCAAAGGCTGCACGCTGCTTGTCCATCTGTTAGTGCAAGGATTTTTTCTGAGTATGGGCTGGACCAGGACGCTGCTGAGGTCCCTCCCAGCTCTCAGCTTCTGTGACTTGCCCACAGTGAACAGAAATTATAGGGCAGTGTCAGGATTTGAACTCCGGTCTTCTTGTGTCCGGTACTGGCCCTCTACAATCCTCCATGGCTGCTCAGTCCATTGGGCTGCTTAAATTTCTGGCACATGTGCATCTACGCTCTCACTTAGAAGCCAGAAAGCTCGGGGTCAAATCCAAGCCCTTCTACTCATAAGCTCCATAACCTTGGGCAAGCCCTTACACCTCCTGCAGCTTCCTCAGTTCCCCTTCTTTTTTATACGAGGCAGTTGTATTAAAATCTCCACAGATTAAAATCTCAGTGTTCCTACAACCTTAGTCCTTGGCCTTGGGGATTTCCCAAAAGGTCCTCACAGGAGAAGAAACGACCCAGAGATCCCCAGAGGGCGGGGAGTTCACAGGAAGCCCATCTGGCCTCAGTGCATTTGGTGCATCTTCCCTGGGATGGGAATGGGTGGGGTGGGTACCCCTGGAGACCTTGTGAAGGAGGAGCCTGAGACGAACCACGTCCCTCCCCCACATCCGTCCTGACTCTGCCCCGTTCCCCTCCCCTCCCCTCCTCCTGCCCCTCCCCCACAACCTGGGCAGTGACAGGGCCGATGACCCCCCTCCTCCCCCGTGTCCTTCTAGGAGGTCCTGGAGCTCGCCTTCTCCATCCTGTATGACTCCAACTGCCAGCTCAACTTCATCGCTCCTGATAAGCACGAGGTAAGGGCTGCTCGCGCTGGGACGACTTCCCCTGGAACGCTGAGTCGTCTTGAAGGGATATGGGGGAGGCAGACAGACGGAAAGCGAGAGCACAGCAAGAACCTTAGTGCCCCCAACACGGCCAAAGGGGCTCCCGGTGTTTGACCGTCCCATCGCCCCTTGACGTTTGCCGAGGCTGCCCATATTGCCTCTCATTTGATTCCCAAAGGGCCCCTGTAAAGGAAGTCCTATTAGTATCTCCATTTTACAGATGAGAAAACTGAGGCAGGCAGGTCGAGTGACTTACCCAGAACCACACAGCTGGTGCCAGCCTGAGGCTGAATTTGACTTCAAGTCGTCCTGACTCCAAGGCCAGCTCTCTGTCCACTCTACCTCCGGCTTCCGATTCCCTGCCCACCTGGTCATAGCTCTATAAACACTCCTCCCCCTAGAGTGTAAGCTCTTGAAGGCAGGAACCACCGCTGTTTGCGGGTAGTTGGGGTGGGGACCTTTTCTTTGGATGTCTAGTCTTTAGCACGGTGCCTAGCAGCACATCGTGAGTGAGTAATAGACGCTTGTTGATTGACTGACTCCACGTGGAACCAAAGAGGCCCCATAACGAGAATAGGATTTCTGTCCCTTGCTAGCTTCGCGATTTGAGGCAAACTCCAACCTCTCCAAGACGCTGGGGGACAAGGCCCCTTATCCTTAGAAATACCCAGCCTCAGTTTCCGGCTCCAAAGCTTGGGCTTTATCTAAATCCAGAGAAACACAAGGCCGGGCAGGGCAGGGCTCTGTCCCAAGACCGCGGAGCACCCCAGGAGGGACACCAGCCTCGCCCTGGGGGGATGGGCTGGGCCACAGGAAGGCCACGCCTCCTCCCTGGCCTCCCTCACTCCTGGGGCCCAGGTCAGCCACGTGGGGAGGCATCCCTGGGGCTTATGGTTAATCCTCAGAACTTATTTCAGAATTTCCAAAATTAAATCGTTCTCATGTCTTCAGTTTTCTCCTTTACAAATCATTTAAAGCCATGAATTTTGCCAAAAGGAAAAAAAACATTCAGGGTTTTTTTTAAAAAAAGTTCAGGACTATCTGTGCTGTCAAAATTTTACATTCAAGTTTGCTTAATTCCTCCTCCTTGACATTTCGCCACACGTATAATTTGTTTCTCCCTGTTAAAACATGCCGGGAGCTATATTTAAAACCCACCCATCAGCATGAAATCTCGGGAAAGGCGTTTGGGAGAAAAGAATTGCCAATAGAAAGAACCACTCAGCCTCCTGGAGCTCTCTCCTAACAGTCTGGGAAGTAGGAGCCACCAGTGTGACCCTTCCACCAGGGGAAACTGAGGCCCAGGCAGCTCCTCTCCACGCAGGACCCCACTGGTGGCCGCCAGCGGCTGCTGCATCCGAGGCAGCGTCCCTCCCACTTGCCTAGCTAACCAGCGCCCCATTTCCTGATGAATTCATCAATCAGCCAATGTGCGCAGACACGTAGACAAAAAAAAAAAAAGAGGCTTCTGCTGTGTACTACACACCTGGAGAGGGGAAAGACAATCCTCTCCCTCAAGGAACGGGCATTCTGGCATTGGGAGTGGGAGTGGGGATGGGCTGTTGGGGGCCTGAAGGTCGTGCCAAGCATCCCTGGTACCTACTGCTGAGGCCGTTAGGGCAGACCTCGCCAGCCTCGCCAGCCGCCCCCTCTCCATTCCTCTCTGGAGGGCCTGGAGCCGTCTCAGCTCACTGAAGTGTTATTCAGTGTCTGCTCTTCACAGGTGGCAGCTTCTCAATGAGACGGTACTTCCTGAAAAGGGAGGAAAGATGACACATAAGCCCCGAATTTAGAACGAGGCTTAAGCATCATTCCCTCTCACTTGACATTTCCTTAAGAGAGGGAATAGAACTTGGGCCTTCTCCTGGAAATACTGCTGACTATGGACCAGGATGTCACCAATGGGAAGTGGGGAGGTAGCCCCGGGCACTGCCTGTGATGGAGGCCAGGGATCAGCCAGGGAGGCCAGGCCAGGGCCCTGGGAGGAGCAGTCCGGCCGACCTGGGAATGTGATGGCTCTTGGAGGGCCTGCCATACAGAAGGCAGCCAGCCTGTTCTGCTAGACCCGTCTGAAAGCCACGCAAGAAAACCCTAAAAAAGACACAGGCCAGGTGTCCGAGAAGAGGCTCCTCACTGAAGGGGGAGGGGCTGACGAGGCAGGGAGGCTTCAAGGTTTGTCCCCCAGCTGTGAAAGGTCGGGGATAGACCTCGCGACCAGGCTAGACCACACGTCCACTCTGCAGAATCTCTGGTTCTGCCTGCAGAAAAGAATATTCATTCAGGGCTTAGTATCAGGAGCCCCGACTTTGAGACCAGGCTGGATCTGTGGGACCATAAGCAGACTTCTTAACTGCACTGAGCCTCAGCGTCCTTCTCTGTAAAAATAATCCTGCCCCAAAGCTCATCAAGTAGGCACGGGGCGATTGGATATTTTCTATTTGGATGTTTATAGATTGTCTTCAGACTTCGATTTAGTTATGCATGTTACATGTAAACGTGTATGCCTGTGCTTATCGAGGTTTTGATCTATTTTAGTCAATTGTATGTTATATATAAATGTATGTATGTGTATATAGGTGTTCTTCATATTTCTATTTAATCATGCATGTTATGTGTAAATACATATACATGTCTGTGCATGTTTTAGACATTTGATATTTTGGTTTCATTATATGTTACGTATAACTACATGTATATGTGTGCGTGCATGTATGTATATATTTATAGATATATTTTATGTTTTTATTTATATATGTTATATACAAATGCATGTGTATATATATGCATGTATGTGAGTGTTTATAGATCTGTTTTATGTTTATGTATGCATGTATACATGTATATATTTGTGTAGGTTCACACATATAGAACCATATCTATATACATATGTATTGCTTTAGATATATGCATATATTTATATGTATGTGTCCATCCATCCATAAACCTATCTATATACATATGTATTGAGTATATATGTGTCCATACATACTTTTAAACATCTATATACATATGTATTATGTGTGTATATGTGTATGTGTATATATTTGTATATGTATGTGTCCATACATCCATGAACATCTATATATGTATGCATTACATTGTGTCTATCTGTCTCTCCACATCTATATCTCCATATCTATCTATCTATAATGGAATCAGAGGTCTTGCATTCAAACCCCCACCCCTGACACTCACTAGTGGGCATCGGGGGCACTTTACATCTCCTCTCTGGCCTCAGTTTCTTCACATGTCAAGGTACCAGGTGCACCTGCCTTAAGAGCATATTGTGAGGCTCAGATGAGCCTATGCAGGTAAAGTGCTTTCAAACCTCAGGTGTGTCCCTGCTGGCTGCTCTTGTTATTAATATCACTGGGACCCTAGTCCCAACATCTTCCAAGAGTCCCTGGAGTCACCTGGAATGTTTCCAGCCAGAATTACCATTGCCCCTTTTCTCCAGGCATTTCTTGGGCGGGTGGGTCAGCATGCTGGTCCTCGGGTGCTAACACAAGCTGCTCTTTCTTCCTTCTTACCCACAGTACTGCATCTGGACGGATGGGCTCAATGCCTTGCTGGGCAAGGACATGCTGAGTGACCTCACCCGCAATGACCTGGACACTCTGCTCAGCATGGAGATCAAGCTTCGCCTCCTTGACCTAGAGAACATTCAGATCCCCGACGCGCCTCCCCCCATCCCCAAGGAGCCCAGCAACTACGACTTTGTCTATGACTGTAACTGAGGGCACCCCTGGCCCTGACCCTGCCCACCCTGGCGCCCCTGCTGAACTCAAATACAGCTGCGATAACTGGAAACATGAGTGAGAACACACTTGGGGCCCCTTTGGTGTGATGGCCAGGGCCCCCACATCCTCCACCTCTCACCTCCACCCAGCATCTCCCCCTGCACTTCCTCCCTCCCCCCACCCTCTGTGCCAATCAGCAATTGATCGATGGGTCGATCATTTTCAGAGACTACAATGCTATACTTACCTTCTCACTGCTGCAGCCCAAGTATGGGATAGAGCAAAGTCCCACCATCGCCACCGAGAACAGTGAAGGGACCCGGCCTTGGGTTCGGGGATCACAAGAGCCGGTCTGCCTGCGCCTGCCCACCTTCCAGCCAAATGGCCTAGAGTAGACTGGCCGGGGAGCAGGCCTGGAAGCAGTAGGAGAGGGCAAAGACCAACCACCGCTCTCAAGAAGAATGACCAGGGCCAGGACCAGGGGAGCTGAGGACCGTTTATGACTCTAGTCTTCCCTTCATGCCTGTCTCCCCCGCCGTCCCTGCCCCATCACCTCCCCTTCCTCCTCTCCTCCCTTCCCTCTACAAAAACCAGAAGGAGGACCTCCATCCATCCCCAGGGCTTCACCACAGTTTGGTCTCCCAAAGAACGAAAGTGCTGGATTCACACCCTTAGGCTTCTAGCTGTCCCTGTTCCAGGCTTTCAGTTCTCACTGTCTTCTTTCTAACAGCTTCTAGGTTCTCCTTCCCCCTTTCCCCAGCTTTCTTCTAGTTTATTAACTCAAAGCACAAATTATGAAGCCCCTAGCTGTGGTCTCTCCCTTCCTCCTCCTCCTCCTCCTCTTCCTTTTCATCTTTTACCTTCCCTCTCTCCCCCACTCTTCCCAGCTCTCTTTCTCTTTCTTCTTCCTCCTTCTCCTCCTCTTCTTCTTCTTCTTTTCTCTCTCTCTCTCTCTCTCTCTCTCTCTCTCTCTCTCTCTCTCTCTCTCTCTCTCTCTCTCTCCTCTCCACCTCTCCTCCCTCTCTCTCCCCACCTCTCCTCCCTCTCTCTTCCCATCTGTCCCCTTCTCCCCTCTCCTTTCTCTCAGTTCCTCCCTCTTCTTCTGTCCCTCTCCTTCTTTTTGTCTCTCTATTTCCCTCTTTTTTCCTTCTCTGTGCATTTTTCTCTGTTACTTTTCTCTGTCCATCTGTCTCTCTCTGTCACTCCCTGTTCCCCTGCCTATTTCTGTGTCTGTCTCCTGTCTCTGTCTCTTTCTCTTTATTTTCTGTTCTTTCTCTCTGTATCTCCCTCCCTCCTCACACACACACACACACACACACACACACACACACACACGTGTGTGTGCATGCACTCATGCCCATGCAGAGTCACTAACCCTGAATGCCTTCCTCTCACCCTGGCTTTGGACCCCCCCCCCCAGGGCTCAGTGTCCCCTTCCTCGGGCGAGGGCTCTTGCTTCGCCTTGGGTTTCCCGGCATTGGTGGAGCCGCCAGACATCCCAGTTTACATTGCTGTAATCGTTAAGAGTGTTAGAAATCTGTGAGGGTTTTTGTTTTTGTTTTGTACAAAAGAGTCTAACATTTTTTGCCAAACAGATATATATTTAATGAAGAGAAGATATACATTAATGTGTGTACTTTTTGGAGGATGGCTTTTTTAATTATTTCCATTCCAAACATTTCCCTGAGAATAACATCCCTTCTCCCACTTGCTGTGTAATAAAATCTGCATTGTGATGAGCTGGGGAGCCAGCGTCTTCCTTAGAGCTGTGCAGAGGACCTGAATCTTTTGGGGCCAGACCAGCTCCATCTGAGCTAGTGCTACCTGGTCAAACATCAGTCTGGATGAAGAAGCACCAGGAGTCACTCATTCCTCCATGACTCATGGGAAGAAGAGCCTGGCTTGCAGTAGGATGAGGGGAAAGGTGAGAAATAGATCCTCCGGGGGCACAGAGCTCTCTGCTGTCTGCCCAAGAGACAGTAATGTAGTAATCTGGGTAATGTAGTCATTTTAATAATAATGCCAGCATTTTAACAAAAGGATGGTCATTTGGTCCTCTCCTTCTTAGACTAAAGACAATCCTGGCAGTGGGCTCAAGGTTTATAATTCAGGGGTGGGGAACCTGCAGCCTGAGGATTTGTTCTGTGAAGTTTGGATTCAGTCAAAGGGCCGCACTTGAGGACCTAGAAGATGAGGCCGCAGGCTCCTCACCCCCAGTTTATATGTTTTTTTGGAAGAGTGTTCGAAAGGATAGCAGCAAACTCTGATTGGCTGACAGTTAATGAAGTGGGCTCACTGCAATGAGGGCTGAGAGTAACATCAAGTCATCCTTGGACTAAGAGACCATCTCTCTAACCAGACCACCCCCAGCCTTGGGCAATCTAGAGCAGAGGCTCTGTCTCCACCCAAGCTTGATGGAATGGAATTCACTTTAGACTAGAGATTCCTCGTAAGGTTGGGTGAACTGGGATAGAGGGGAAGGTTAACTTAACCTTCAGAGACTGAGGTCTTGAAATGAGGATAGAAAAAAGGGGGAGCTCTGAATCTCCCCAAGTCATTGGTTATTAATAATCATTTCTCTCACCCAGAAGCTGTGTGGTTAACCAGGCTCAATGCCCCCTGCCAATCCAAGAGCAGGGGAGTTCCTGGGGACAGACGGGCCATGAGCACCATGTAGAATGGCCCAGGTACAGAGCTGAGTTATGGTGCACTGGTATTTTGGTGACCTTGCTTTGCCATTGCCATTCGTGGGGACTGAATTATGCCCAGGATGCCCATCCAGCCATAGGATCAGGGCCCCAGAGGAGATCATCACCAGGCACCTCAGCTTCTCTCCTGAAGAGTCCAGATTCCGATGTCCAGACAGAATCTCACCAGGAGTCGGTGACTTCTGACTTGAGGCCCTGGGGTAAATCCTTTAAACAGGTGCAGGATAATTTATTAGACTAAACCACAGGCATAAAAATTAATGTATATCTACATAGGAGACCCTGCAGGAAATCAGGCTAGGTCTGTCCACACAGACTTCAGATCAATGAGACAGAAGCCAAAGACTGGTTCATTCAATCATTCCAAAAACACTGACTATAAAAGTCCAAATACCAGTCCTGGCACTTGCAATTCACATGTACATGGATGAGTCACCTCTCCTTTAGGGCCTCAGTTTCTTCCTTGGTAAAATGGGGGGAGGGGTTAAGCTCAATGATTTCTTGAGTTACTTCAAGCTCTCAGTGTATAACCGTAAGTCCCTGACAGGTCCAGATCTCCTGCATTCTGAGGCATCTTCTAGTCACGGACTCATTGGAGCCTTGAAAGGGACTTTGAAGGCCCAGCCTCTCAGCTTAGCTGAGGCCCAGGACTGCAACAAATAAACCAGGCAAAAGCACACTTCCACCTAGTAAAATGCTTAGAAATACAATACAGCATCTGTCTAGCACTTGAAGGTTTCCTAAGCACTTTCCTCAAAACAGCTCCAGAAAGTAGGAAAAAACCTAGACTGTCAAAACTGGAAAGGACTTGGAGAGCATCTTGGCCCACCCTTTTCTTGGGGGGAACTGTCTGAGAAAGGGTACAAGGAGAGAAAGAGGTAAGGGCTTTTTTCTCATATTTCTGGAGAGCTACCATCCTAGAGAATTGTATGATCATAGAACCTCTCTGAGGCCATCTCATTCATGGTGAACACACAATATGACCTGTTTCTTCTCTCCCCTCCCATGATCATTGGTCCTCCCCAAACACTCTCACAACATGCCTCTCCCTTGCCACCCAACCCATGCATTTCCTCATGAGGTCTCCTTAATATGGAACACTACTCCATTCTACTGTTACGTTTTCTAATCTATTTCCTTTGAAAGATAGAGATCCTTGTAGAGCCATATTTGAGTCATGGGTCCCACCCAACTAAGACTTGGTGAAGCCAAGAGGTCAAATGGACTTCATTATATTAATAGTGTTGATTGACTCTGTTTATGTCTAAACCCCACACTCCAAACATTTCCACAAGCCAATGAGTCTTGTTACATGACCCACCCCCCTCCACCTTTGGCATTGTCTTCTGTCAATGACTTCCCCTGTCTAGTGATATTCTTCTTAACATCTTTTTGTGCTTGTGACTCTGGCAGTGTCTGACTTTCATCCAAGTTGAGAATTCTTCATTAAGCACCTACTGTGCACCAGGCATTGTGGTAGGCATGGGAAACACAAAGGGAATAAATCTTCAAAGAGTTCACATTCTATGGGAGGAATGCAACACGAACACACACAAACGATATAATTCAAGTGAGCTGTGAAAAGGACAAAAAAGAGGTCAAACATTGAGATTTTGGGTGATTTCAGGAGTAAAGGATTCCAGTAATTAGGTTGATCAGGGAAGGCTTCATAGAGGAAGTGTTACCCAACTGAGCCTCAAAGGGAAGATGAAAGTGGCTTGTGGCTATATTGGAGAGAAGAGACTCAAAGAAGGTCCTCCCAAGAGGGTGGAAGGATGAAAAGGGGTGACAAGATGGTATAACCAGTCAATTCTCAGGTTGCTGATTTTGTTTTCTACCAAGGAGAATAATTTTTGTGCTGGAAAAAGCAAAACAAATCCAAGGAAGAGGCATCTGAAATTGAAGATAAGTAAGGAGATAACAGGAGGGACCCAGCAGCCATTGATTGGTTTGGGTCACTAGATCCAGATGACCTCAATACCAGGATACAGAAAGACCATAGAGAATGGCAGAGGTACCACAGACCAGGAGAAGGGCAAAGGTTGGAGAAACAGTGAGATCACACTCTGTAAACTATGGGCCAGTGAGCCCCTGGGAAAATTTTAGGATGTATCATTAAAGAGATGTTCCCTGGACATCTAATAGAGGCAGAAAGATTAACATAGAGAAAGCAAAGCTAAATTAAGTAAAGATGATGACCAACTCACCTCACAGCTGTTAAACTTCTTAGGGGAGCACAGGAACTATTGTTGGCCTAGATTTTAGCAAAGCATTTGGGAAAGTATCAGATGCTGTGATTGTAGAAAGGACAGAGATCTGGACCACATGATGGTACAATCAGACGGTGTCAGAGCTAGACAATTGACTGGACCCTGAAAATGTCATTTGTGGATTGAGATCACCTTGAAAGGAAGCCTTTATCCGTGACCCAGGTAACAGCTGACTGTCACCTTTTGAAGTGGAATGAAGGAGGAAAAGAGAGTTAATGGGTTGGATTCCCTGATGTTAGGATCCAAGAGGAGAACTAGGCCCAGTCTAACAAGATGACATGTAATAGGGATAAATGTAAAGCCTGAGAGTTGGGCTCAAAAAACAAACTTTACAAGCACAAGAGGGATGCAACATGGTAAGATCCCAGTTTGTCAGAAAAAGATAGAATTTTAGTGGACTCCCCACCCTTTTCTCAGAATCATATTTCTAAATGCATAAAATAAAATACCTTGGATTACATAGGAAACCAACTATACTGAAATACAGTTTTCAAAATTTTTGCCTCCTTGAGAGTCCAAGGATCCCAGGTGAAGAATCCCTTGTGAAAGATGGCACCTTTGTGAGCCTTGAAGGAAGCTACACATTCTGAAAGGTGGAGGTAAGGACAGAGTTCAGTAGGAATGAGAAGGAGAGATGGAGAGAGGCCTGGACAAAGCACTGACTGGAGCTGGACAGCTGGGTCTAGAACCACGGAACACAGGAGGGGGCAGAGTGGAGTGAAGAGCTGGGTAGGGAGAGGCAGGAGATGTTGATAACAGCATAGTTGGGACATTCTGCGAACAAAGGACTTTGTTGGAAGATCTGTCGAGAAGGACTCAGCCTCCTCAGACTGTCATGGTGGATTGTGTGTATGATGGAGCACCTACTATGTGTCAGGCATTGTACTATGTTCCTGTGCAAGCTTACA